AGGCTGTAAACCTTGGCCCGCCCTGCCAAGGGGCGGGTTAGTGGGCTGGCGAGCTAGCCCGCCATAATTTAGAAAAAAATAATTTATTTTTTAAAATCAAAATTTTCAATAAATTTAATTATAAGATCATTATTTGTTTGTCAATAATTCAATATATATATATATATATATTATTTCAATTTAATAATATAAATCAATACATCATTTTAAGAAATTATAATTTAGAATAATAATAAATTTTACATAATAATAAATAATAACAAATATATATATATATATATATATAACGTTAAAACTTATAAAATTTATATTTTTTATATTGAAAATTTTAAATACCTATATCTTTTTTATTTGATAAAACTCCACATTATTCTTGGTTGAGTAATTCTTACACCTTTAATTCAAGTTATAAGGATAAAAATAATCAAGTACTTAGGATGAACAAGGAGAACAAGAGAGAGAAACTTGTGTTTTAGTAGGGAGAATATTTTCTGTGAGAGTGAAACTTTTTTAATTCTCTTTTTAAAAAATTTAACTTTATATATTATCTTTATAATTAACTTTATTACAATAAAAAATTATTTTTTTATTAATTAGACGAGCCGCGGGCTGGCCCGCCCCGTCTCGCAGGTTAGCCCGGGGGGTTGGCAGGCTTGGCTGGGCGGGCTCGCTGGTGGACTTTAAACATCAACCTACCCCGCCATATTATGGCGGGCTGACCCGCCGAACTTGGCCTGTTTTTTCATCCCTATATTAACTCTCCATCGTGAACATCCCTTTCAAGGTCAAAATGAGCAACATCGAGCTCGAGGACGAGTAGGACAACTTGACACACAGCTTTCCTTAAGCCATCCTCATAACTATTTAACATATTGTTCTTTAACTCGATCAATTGACTCTTATGCTCCTCTTCTAATATAGTAATCTTGTCCACAAGTTCCTTATTTCGACCTATCTCTACTCAGAGATTGTCTTCAGCCTTCAAAGTACACGAAGAAAACATTTCATTTTCCTTGGCCTTAACAGAAATAACATCCTCATAAGATTTCAATTGAGAGTTTAATGTAGCCACTCTTTGTTGAAACTCAGCCAAATATTTCTCCAATATTTTTACTTTATCGACACAAGTCAAGGTCGATGATGTCCTCAAATGACGGACTATAGACAAACACTGAAGCATCATTACCTTAATAGATTCAAAATTACCCTCAACACTCACATGATTCATGATGTTGGAATCAAACCGTGATGATACATTGAGGATAGGAAGTTGATCGATGGTAAGAGATGTATGCCACAAGGACTCAACATCAGAAGTTGTGGACACATGATCCAACTGTCAAACAGGGCCTTCTTGACCTCTAATAATAACCCCTAAAGTACCAGGAGAAAGCTTGGAAACTGGCGAAAGATATGTTGTTGGCGGTTGTTCATCAAGAATGTTCTTAAAGTCCACGTAGTCAGGTTCGGAGGGAGTAGGGGAAGATGATCGCACTACTTGTTGACACTTAGACGCCTCCAGCTGGTCGAGCCGAGGACTGATTGGTGCACGACCAAGTTCTTCCCTCATCTTTTTATAATCGAACTTGGGTCCCATGACCTCTACAAAAAATATAGGTCAGAAAAAGAAAGTAGAAAAAATGAGCTCATTGAAAGAAAACTAGCAAAAACTACCTGCAAACATAGAAAGTTGATCATCGACTAAAGAAACATTTATTAAGGCTCTACAATTTATAGGATGAGGAATTAATTTTATTAATTCGATATCTTATTTCTCGGAAGAAGACAATGAATGTTCTGCCCGAGATTTAAACTTAAGTGGAGCTCGCTGCCAAAACAGTGGAAAACGAGGAATATCTTCGGGATAACGTAATAGGCTCTTTGAGGGGTCAGATGGAGAACACCTTACTCGAAAAAATTGAGTCTTAAAACTCTTGAACGATTGGGTGGTAATGGTGAAAATACCATTATATTGAGCACTGTTCAAGGATATCCAACCAATTTTGCTACCATATTTCACTTGATAAAAATACAAAAATTTATTTACAATAGGCTCAATACTCAACAGAGAACGCAAAATCTAAAAGGTCTTGAGAAAAGTCCAACTATTGGGATGAAGTTGGTAGGTGCTACAGTTAACTCGGTTAACATGGTGCATTCGAAGTCGCTAAAGGGGAGCCTTATATCCAAATCTTTAAACCAACACTCATAGGAAAAAGAGAACTCGTCCAAACAACTGTGGTATACTCGGTCCAAAGGCGAACAATGCTCTGCTACCAATAATTTTAGATTATCCTCTTAAGCAATATTGATGTATTGACAAAAACCAAGAACAAACAAAGGGAAACATAAGAATCTACAACACTATAAACCCAGGAATATTTGGATGAAGTAATGCGCGAATGATCTTTACGATTACCCCTATTCTCATACGCCTTGCTTATCTTCTTGACAGGATTAGAGGAGGCTTTCCTCTTAGGTTGGGAACAATTGGTTTGTTTCCTCTCCAAAGAAACTTCACCAGTAACTCCGGTAGCCCCCATCATCAGAACGTTTTCTATAGACACATAAAGGGTAAGTTCTTCATCAGAACTACTTGTCAACCCTAAAGCGGTTCGCATCTTTGTCTCAGATACAACATCAGGTTTGCCAGTATTTAAACTGGACATAATATAGAAGTATCAAGAATGTACCTATTAATGTAGTGGATACACATAAAGAAGACTCAAAGATGAAGGAATGCCCAAGCAAACCGAGGGAAGAGAAGCGTAAAAAAGAAGAGAAACGTTAAAATGAGAGAAATGTGAAAATGAAAAACAGGAAAGTAACTTTTTCAAAAAATAATGTCTCCTCAAATTTCCAATATTTTATTAAGGTCGTCCATTAAGAGGTCATCCTTCCAAACCAAAAAACTCGTTCAACTTTCGTCCTTTGAGCTTGGGGGGCTTATGTATCTACCAGTCCAAAACTATTAGATCACTTAACCATGCTTACTGGCCCAAATCCATTAAGGAAACTACTTTTATTTATTTTGTTATTAATTATCTTTATTCTTCTATAATATCTTATAGTAGTTATTATTTTATGGGCTATGATTTAATTATATATGAGTCCATTATTATCTTTTAAACACTATATAAAGACATATAATAAGGGAGTAAATCTCAACTCATTCGCATATACATCTATATCATGCTTAAAAGCTGACTTGAGCGTCGAAGTACCATTTGCAGGTAAGACTCTACGCTTTCCTGGATATCGTCTTACCGACCATCTTCAGCTCGGTATTAACAATTCCTTTTCAAATAAATGGAAGGAATAATTGGTTTTATTCGTTTGGATTGTTTGAAGTTTCAACTTTAGACATTAAATAGGTTAAGAATTAGATATTATCATGTAAATGTTAACAGCATGTCTGGTTATGTCGACATTTGCATACTGTATTATATTTTATTAGTTCCGCAGAATACGCGTAGAGTTTTGGGCGTAGTGGGAATGGTTTGATGCTGATTGTCACTCCATACTTAAATTTGTGGGAACTGGCTCATTGTCTCTTGTGCAGAAGAATGCAAAATTTAGAAATGATCATATATGATTAAATTGAAGATGTAAGAAAGTTCACAAGTTGAGGCAGAATAGACAACGGAAAACCCAACTTGGGGATATCTGCATGCTATACAAAAGTTATACAAAAGTTTATACGTTCTATGTAAGCAAGTTTTCGTACGATCTTTGGTTGGAGTCAATGTAAGCGTTTAAGGAAGAATATTTTCAATGCAACACTAAACATCACTGGTTCCTAATCCTAAACCAGAGAGTGGAATGGAGAAACAAACATAGATATAGTTTTAATGACCAAAATCTAACATCTGTTGTTGAGATGGCCGAGTTGGTCTAAGGCGCCAGATTAAGGTTCTGGTCCGAAAGGGCGTGGGTTCAAATCCCACTCTCAACAAAGATTTATTTTATAGCCTTTTTTATTGACTTTACCTCCTTATTCGAAATAAAAAAGTTTTTAAATTCTTCATCCAAGTTTACCAGAAATTTTGAACTCACTAGTTTTTTTGATCAAATGTGGTTCAGGAAAAAGAGATTATTCCATGTATTATTCGTAACTATTTCTCTCGTAATACGACAATAATGTATTGACAATGACAACCATACGAAATTAAATATTTACACAACAACTCTTCCTTAGAATAAAATAATATTAAAGTATTTAGTCAATATTTTAATTTATTCTATTAGAATAAAATAATATTAAAATATTTAATCAGTATTTTTATTTATTCTAATTTTTTATTCTCTTGAAAGGTGGGTCTACGTTACTCACTCATACTATCTCATTTGTTACATCTCTTTCATTATTGTTCTCTTCCGGTTGTTCACACACACTCTTTTGCTCGTAGCATATCCTCCAACTCTTCACTGTTGTGTTCTCGCCTTTGTTCTTTCTAAGAGTGTCAAATATACTGATTTAGGATTTATGTTAAATTTTTCTCTCTTTCCATGTATCTACTTGGAATTTCGGTGATAGCGAATTTTAATATTTTTACCCAAATAACATCAATCATATAAATGGTGTTGATTCGAAGTGAACTTTCTCATTTCTTAAAATGTTAATTACTTCATCCAAATACTTTATCCTACACCTAAAAATAATAATTATATTTGAAAGCCTGCTTAGGTTTACTTGATTGAACTAAGTTGGAACTGCTCATCCATATTATACTAAGACATTTCATAACATACAAAAGAAAATGTGGCGATTGTTTGACAAACCAAACAACCAATAGACAACACAAAAGAACACTAGATAATATTATTTTGGGTTGTTTATTGCTTGTATGGGTTGTTAGGTGATTATTTTTGCAAAAGAAACATGAATATAGGAGAGGTGATTACAAAAGAAAAGTTGTATGATGGAACAAATCCTTAAGCAAAAGATTTTCTATTTCATATTAAAAGACATACATAAAGGAAGAAGAAAGTATAAAAGCTCAACAAAATCCTTGAGCAATATCACTAGCGTTAACAACAGGTGGAATAACAAAATGCCAAAGCTTCCTAATACCCCCAACCCTATATTTCATGCACAAAAACTCCTTCGCATAGTGTTTCTCAACATCCCTATCCACATCATGAAGAAACACGTGCGTCACACCTGATTTTTTTCTCCCTCGCGCCATCATGGCGGCGGAGTATATGACTGCCATCCTCCCAGGAGCGGCCGAAAAATACCCTCGCGGCCCATCGATCATAATCACATCCCAATCACGATCATACACATCATTGGACAAGTTGCTGAGGGCCAACATGCACTGCCAGTCACCCTTTAAAGGATGACTCACAGTGGCACAATCCCTTTTGTAAGAGTTAATAAGGGCTTTGGCATCGGAGAGGCGTGTGGAGTAATGCACTGTGTCGGCGTGTAGGATGGGGAAACGCTGGAGGGCGAAGAGGGTCCACTTGGGATCTTCCTCAAGGAACATTGTGGTCCCACGTGGGTTGAAGGAGTCCCACATGAGGGAATCATGACCGAGACCGAATACTAGGAAATTGCATGGCGCAAGGGATTGAAGGACGTCGAAGGCGCGTCGGATCTCACCCTTGGTCTGTTGTGGGAGAGCGAGTGCAGTGGCGTAGTGGAGGATGGTGACCAATGTAGGGGGTGTGGCTTCAAACTCGGCGGCGATGACAGACTCAGAGGCGGTGAGGGGGACAGTTGTGGGGGAGATGCAGTGGTTGTTGTTGGGGTCGATGAGGGTGTGTCGGAAGAGGAAGAGGAGGAAAAGCGTGGTGGCGACGGTGGCGGCGAGAAGGGTGAGAAGACGGGAGTTGGGGGTGGAAGGGTGTTTCTTCTTATGCGAAGGTTGTTGGTAGGACCTGAAAATCAACGCTTGCATGTTGCTCCGCGTATTTGCTATGTGAAGGAAGCTACGTGAATCTGTAGGATTTGAAAGAATGAATGAATGAAAGAGTGAATGTGATGGAGACGTTAGAGATGCATGGAGATAAAGTGAAGGGCGTTGTTGTAGCCACAAACATGGAGATCATAATTCTATATTTAACTCCTCATAGAAGTTGTCACATCTACATAGTATAAATCATCTTATTTAACATGAAATGTTGTGTCTGATCATACATATACGAGGGTTTTTTTTTTTTTCAACCTTTCTCATTTCACAAACTCGTTTTTGTATTTCATGTTAGTTTTTTTGAGGTAGTCAAACATGTTTATCTCCATCATCCCAATAACTTTTGTACAAAACTATTATATTTTTAGATTTATTTAAACATAAGAAACAAAATTAAATGTGTAATTGTTTGATAAAGTATAAATATGTAAGAAATAGTATTTTATTATAATTTAATTAATTTCATAAGAAATAAAAAAATAAAGAAATATAAAGATATAAAAAATATGAGAAATAATATATATTTTTTTCTTCTATATCCTTTATCAAATACAATCAATGTTCTCGTTGTCTATCCTTCCCCTTCATTTTACCAAGCACACCTTTAATATCATATATAATAGCTTTAATGTATTTTTGTTTGTCATAATTGAAATGATAAACAAATTATTTCATTTGAAACCCTTCATTTGTAATTATAAATTTTTTTATTCACTAGATTTATATAGAAAATTATTTCTTGTACACAACAAATTTCTCAAACCCCAATTGACACTTGTTGACGTGACTATTTTTAAAAGAGAGTCGATGTAGTGTGTTGAGGTGGAATGTAAATTAGAAAACTAAATCAAAATAATAAGAGAAATGTATTGTGTAGGTGGAAATTGGGTTTGAGAAGAGAAGTGAAAGAATGAATTGGGTGCAGAAGAGAAAGACAAAGATTCAATCTAATTGAGTCTTGTTTCTCCTATGAGAAACATTTTTTAAACTGATTTGAGAAGAGAAAGAGGTGAGGAAGATTAAAGTTGAGCAAGTATGGTGTTGAGGAGGAGTTGTTAAGAAACGAACAAAGTGGATCCAAAAAATAGAACTAGAATGAGTCGTTGAAAGGCTTGTGTTGATGGTACCACCATTATTACTCATTGTTGCGTTCTAAGGTTGTGTGGAGAGTTTATGTTCTTTTGCTAGTATGGAATGGAGTGTTCATGTGGCTCTAATTACTATAGAGATGGATATAAATTTTTCTGAGAACAATGGTTTTGTGTTTCGAATGTCTTTATTATCGATCCCCTTTGAGGTTGAGGTTTGAGTAAGGTTGGATGAAATGGCTAAGTAGGGTGATTGATAATTTTTCGTACCCAATTATGTTTCATAACTATTTTGAATCATGAATCCCTACATTGGGTGGTAGAGTTCCCATAACTATTTCAAGTTGGGCTTTAGTTATAGTTGTGACTTGCTTGAACACTAGTGGTTTAACCATTATGAGAATAGTTGTTGTTCTTGTTCCTGTTGGGATGAACAAATGTTAATATTTAATCTTGTTATCATATTTGTAGAAATTGTGAGAGAAAATATTTTGAAGTCCTCAAAGAAAGAAAGTGAAAATTATGGGAAGAACGTGATTGAATTACATGAAAATAGTACCTGTTTTGGCTTACAAATAAATTACATTATTTTTCTTATATGTATATATTGTAATTGATAATAGTAAGATATTGTGTTGATCATTGTAAGTGAATTTTTTTTTTCCTTTTTATGCTTCATTTTGAATTTCAATGTTTTATATCATCTTTTGTTAATGTCTTTGTTATCTTTAAATTCAATGTTGAAGTATTCTAACTAGGGTTATTAGAAAATGTGTTAAGACGATTGAATATAGTAGTGATTACATTCACAAAAAAGTGTATAAATATTCAATATTTATTTTGGTTTGTTTTAATTTAATAATTGTCAATAACAATTCTTTTATATACATTATTTTCATATATGTTTAAGACATTATATGAATTTAAAGTTGTTATTTAACATGACCATTATATTAACTATTTTTCAAAAGAGACGGATTGACACGATACCATTCAAAGCAACAATGTCAATAATCAAACATGTTAAAATATGTAGTGTATTATTACGTGAATTAGTTAGTAGTTAGATGCATGATAGTTGTAATTTTAGGATTAAGTATATAGTGTTGTGGCTTTCGCAGACAGATTTTTTATTTGTTGATTTGTTGGTAGTTGAGGAGAAATTATATGTAGGTATTGGTGAAAAGAGTGAAGATAGTGAAGATTGTCATGTAAAATATTCAATTCATTATATATATATATATATATATATATATATATATATATATATATATATATATCCGCTTTAATGATTTTTTTTTTAATAATTGCAATGATAAACGAATTATTTCAATTGCAACACTTAATTACAATTTTTGTTCTTCACTAGATTTATATATTCTGTATCAAAGGTATGTTGATTGCTGGCTTGTTTCGCCTGAGCTCTGAATGTTAGTAGAAAAATTTTGAAAATCAGAAAAAGCAAGGCCCAGAGAACACCGAGTCTCTGGATCAGACATGAATAGGTAAAAAAAGAATGGAAACAAAAGTACAAATTCTCTCAAGTGGTCACAAGATTAAATGTAAAATAAAGAAACATTAAGAAAATAACTTATGTAAACCATTTGACCAAAATCATAGTTTACAGAAGTAGAAATCACCAATCATGCGAACAAAAAGCCTGCACCTTCTACACACAAGCTGGTCCATCACTACATATGACAAGCTTTATGAATGATTTCCTTATACTAATCACAAAGTAGCTATTCAGTAAAGGCGGTTAGAAGTTAACAGAACAATATCATACAAAATCAAAATATCCACATTGCAAGCCAAGGGATATTTGCACGTGCGCAAAATCTGCCGCATGCTGGTTATTACATCTCCAGCATGATCTATTTTTTCAATCTTCAACTGTGGGCACATCTTATAATGGAGCAGCATCTTAATTTTGATCATTTAGCAATTAAGAATGCACATCGGCTGGAGTGCCAGTTTTTTATCTCTTTGTCACAGACGCTGCTGAGTTTGATCGATCTCCACGCTGAACAGTTCGAGGGATGAATGACAAGCCTTTGCTGCGGCGACCAAAACTGATAGATGAAGGGGTGGAGTCAGAAGTGCTCAATTTAGAGACTGCTGAAACAAGGTCATCCATGGCTGCATTTTCCACTTCCATCATTCCCGCAGCATCGTCCTTAGGGACAGATTGTTTGTGTTGGGACTTCAATCTCTGTTTCTTTGAAGGTTTAGCCTTCTTGAAAAACTCAAATGAGGTGGGGAATTTATGCTTGTCAACCAGATGCTGATGCCTACTATTGTAGCTTTTGAATTTCAAACCACACCTTTCCACCAAGCATTCATACTATATAACAAAGACAAAAAGATACATTAACAGGTTGGCATCTAAATGAGTAATTAAATATGCGGGTGCACAAAAAGATAGCAAGCTGTACAATGAGATCCCAAAGAAATAACCGATAACAAGAATTTAAGGAAGGCACAAAGAAGTTTTGATCAGTATTTAAAATAACCAAATTGTGAATGAAGTTTTGCTGCAAATTTGTAAGATTATATAAATTTAAGAAGAAAAGATTGGATATACTTTATTGGAGAAAATAGAAGAAACAAAAGTAATTTTGAATATCCCACAGTGGAGAAGGCAACAAGCATCCAACTATTCAATTCTTTTAACTTAAGATTAGGAATATATGATAGATCAAATACTCTAAGGAATTGTTCATGACAGCACAAAAGGTCATCTTTACACTTACATACCATATCGTAACCGCGTGCAACTTTTGCCTGAAAGAAAGAATCATGAACTTCAGATACATGTATGCTGAGCAACCGAGATGTTGGGTAGACTCTGGAGCACACAGAGCAGGATGCAGTATGCCTTGCATTATAGTGATTTTCGAAGTCATCCATTGAAGTCAAGCGTGCACCACAACCAACAATGGGACAAAATATTTCCCTGCACAAAAGCATACTTTGAAATGAGGCACATGAACTGTCACTCATCATAGACACATTCACAGTTAAGATGATTATTTGGTCCTGTAGGTGACAATCATTTAAAAATCAGTTTTTGTAATAAACCCCAGGCTTTGGAAATGAGGCACATGGACTGTCACTCATCATGCACATTCAAAGTTAAGATGATTATTTGGTCCCTATAGGTGACACAATCATTTAAAAATCAAGTTTGTTTTCTCCTTCTATGAGATAGACATTGTACCATAACTCATGCTTGTTTTCTCCTTCACCATGCTAGATGTTGTCTCTTTCTCCAAACATCTTCTTGGATTCCCACTCAGGTATTTTATCTATTGTCTCTTCTCTTCTTATGTACCAAAACTCAAAACCACATACCAAAACTCGAAACCACGTTCTTTTTCAACAAACAATTTAGTCCTTGCTTGTGATGTCTTCTTTTGCAGTTCTATTTTTCACAAATCATTTTAATGGCTTCTTGTGGTGTGGGGGCTTCTAACTCTCCTTTTGGTGATGTTGCTACTTGTATCAACAATGGTAGTCTCTCTCTCCTCCTCACAAAACGTTTGGAAGCTTCAAATACGTATTGATGGAGATCCAAGAAAAATTCAATGCAAAATTTTGTTAAAATACTCTAATAGGAGGAGGGTTTTATTGGCAGAAGAAATAAAAAATGAAATCTTTGAAGTTTTTGTGGGTCTACAACAATGATTAATTAAAAAGCAAGGTTTAATATTGAGGATGATGATGTAGAAACTGTAAAAAGAAAAAGGACTGAAGATGATGTTGGCAACAATAAAAATATTGTTAAGAGTGTAGTAAGCTCGCAGGCCACAATTACTCAATTATTCAATAAAGATCAAAGATAAAATACTCGGTGAGATGTTACAAAGTTTTTTCATGAAAATGTCGTACCATTTAATGTGTCAAGGAGCAAAGGATTAGGAAAATGCTTGATTCAGTTTTAAATTACGGCTAAGATTTAAGCCACCTTCATATCATAAGATCAAAGTTAAGTACTAGAAGGAAGAGATTAAGGCAACAAAAAATGTTTTAAAAGTTTCCAAGACTGTGTGAAACAAAACAAGCTACACTATAATGACTGATGGAATAGCCGACAAGACAAGAAGGACTATATTGACTTTTTAGTACACAATCCAAAGAGAACTTTTTCTAAAATCTATTGATGTATCTACAATTTAAAAATAGCTGATAAAACTTACAAGAGGTTAGATGACATTGTTGAAGAGGTTGGTGAGGATATTGTTGACCAAATTGTAACGGACAATGGTATCAATTATAAAGTTATTGGTGAGTGTTAATGAAGAAAAGGAAGAAACTCTATTGGACCCCATGTGCAGCAAATTACAATATTTGATGCTAGAAGATTTTGATAAGATAAATGTTCCATGATATAATTCCTAAAAGTACAAAAGTTACTACTTAAATTTTTTTCAAGGGTATCTATAATTTCTTTAGCTATATAAATTCACAAAGGGGAGAGATTTGTAGAGGTCAGACTTAACTCACTTTGCCACCTTACTTAATATTAAGGTGTCTTTTGGTGCATAAGGGCCCTTGAATTGAATGTTTACCAGTGATGAATGGAAGAATACTCGTTTTGCAAGTACAAGGAATGGAAGTTCAATTGAAGATATGTTTTTGGATAGAATTTTGGAAGAGTATTGCCATATATTTGAAGGGTGCATTTCCTATAGTGCAATTGCTTAGAATGGTATATTCTAATGAGATATCGACCATGGGTTTCATCTACAAGACAATGGATCGAGCTAAAGAAAAGATATAGAAAAAGGTACTTTACTAATCTCCAAATTGAAATTTCATCTTTAGATTCTACCTTTTAGAATGAATTAAAGCTAAAAACTAATTCAAATTATTATTATTTTATTTGTAGTTACAAATATCGATGGAATATTGTTGACGAAAGGTGGGACCATGAGATCCAAATGACTTTGCATGCTTTAGGATATTTTTTGAATCCTAAACTGCATCATTCTCCTACTTTAAGGTTGATACAGAAGTTAAAATTAACCTACTACAATGTATAGAAAAGACCGTGGTTGCCCATCTAGAGCAACATCTGATTGGTAATTCCTTGGCTATTAAGGCAATTGGGAAAAAAACTTCAAAGGTTTGTCATTCGTGCACTTAATTTGACCTATATTTCATTGGAATGTAAATGTAATTGGAGTCAATTTGAGATGCTAAGATTTTAAAAGTTGTAAATTAGAATTAAAATAGTAAATTAGCAATTATATGTATGTATATTTGCATTTATATTTATTAAGTCAACATAGAGAATAAATTGTTTGAAACAAGAAACTATGAATGATATTTCATGGCATGGTTCATTCAAGAAAGGTAGAAGAAAATCTGCTGAGGTGCTTGAACAGATATTCCATTCAATGATGTGTATATTATGGAAAATATTGAAGGAGACAATGAAAATTTAGGTTTAAATGATGCTTTGAATTTAAATGGAGATCATGATCACTTAATTGAAGGTCAAACCCCAAGTGGAGAGCAAGCAAATAATGTTCTTATCATCCTACCTCGAGAGACGAGGATGTTCTCATTGATGTGCTTCATGAAAGAGATGAAGCTATTGAAGATCGCTTAAATTTGGGAACTAATTTGAAATTTATATTAGATGATTATTATCTGGGCTTTAGCCAAATAGGTGTTTTATGTCTTGAACTTGGTAGTTGGTATTTGGTATTTGATTAAGCTTATTTAAGTGATTAGTTATTTAACTTGTTTTGATTGTTACTCATGAGTTAAGACTTGGTTGACATGCTTTCTTCTTAGGTGCTTAAGTTCTATTAAGTATTTTAAAATGTGACTGTGTGACTATTTTCTTTTTAATATTATTTATATCATTATATGAGTATATATGTCATATTTATGAAGGAGTTGGATCTACTATATGTGTTATGATCCCATGATTCATGATGTTTTGAGCCCTTGCAATTAGGGGTGTCAAAATGAGTCAACCCAACTCACATAGGTAGGCTCAGCACAGTTGAACTGAAAATAGGCGAGCTCAACTTGACTTACTTTATAGTGAGTCAGAAATTTCATAACTCGATTCAACCCATTTTGGATTGGTAGGTTGACTTAGTAACCCACTACAAACATAACAAATACAATAGATGTGATTGATGCAACAAATGTGTGAACACAGTGCATGTGGCAAAGGCAATGAATGCAACAGAGGCGGATGCAGGCAGACACGGTGGACGTGGTGGTAGACAAACGCAATGGATTCGAAGGACATGATAGATGTGGTGGCACAATGGCGTGGCGGATCAAGCAAATGCCATAGATGACAAGCACGATGCAAGTGTAACAACATTGAGTGAGGATGACTTTGTAGGTTTGTAGTAGCACAGACACATGATACCATAAATGAAAGAAACTAAGATTTTATTAAATTATTATAATTATTTTTAAAATTTAAAATATATTATGAGTTGTAGGTTGTTAAGGATCTAATATAAAACCAATTGGCAATATTTTGAGTAGTCTAACATGTATTTAAACCATACCAAATGACACGCCCCCTCCAACCAAGCCTGCTGGACCAGGCAAAGGGTACTTTTGACCCATAACGAAAGGGCAACTCTTGACCCAAGACAATAACCAGAAAGATGTTAGGATTTGGCTCTGATACCATGTTAAGGTTCAAACATAAAACCAATTGGCAATATTTTGAGTAGTCTAACATATATTTAAATCATGAGACAGACGATGTGGGACTTTCAACATAGGTCAATCCATTATGATCTGATTTGAACATGTTTAACTCATGAGTTAAGTGAATTAGGTTCATTTTGACCCATAATCAATAAAAAGAAAAAAAAAAAAAATCAAATCAAATCCAGCTCGAACATGTGGTGAGCCAGGTTGGCTCACCGGTTAAAACCCCTATTGACACCCCTACCTACAATCCCACCCATTATCTTGATTTTGACTTATAGAGACTAAACTTAAAAGTTTTGTTATTTAGGAATTGAGTTCTAAATGAGTTTCACCTATAGGAACCAAGTGATTATTTTAACCTAAACAACCTACGTTTTATTCCCTATCCTCTAATTAACACATTGTTCCTAGTTATTACCATATTTTGTAAGTTTTCGTCCTTGTACACCCTTGTAGAGACTAAAATTAAAGCTAATTTATTTCATTTTACTTGATATTCAAAAACTGAGAAAAAGTGTTTTTAGAGGGCTTGAAGAACCCCTCTCATAGTTCTGTATTTATATAGATAAAAACTGATACAATAGGGAGATTACATTAAATGCACAGTCCTAGATTACTCCTCAGAACTAGGTGCAGAGATTATCTAACACTCAACCCCCTGCAGAGATTATCTAACACTCAACCTCCTACCTTAGGTATAATGATTACATATATTTTCTAATTTATTCCAACACTCCCCCTCAAGCCGGAGCATACAAGTTGTATGTACCAAGCTTGGAACAAATGAACTCAATCCGAGGTCCCCTTAAGGACTTGGTAAACACATCTCGCGAGTTGGTCATTTGATCCAACAAACTCGGTACATATTTCTTTTGTCAACAACTTTTCACGAACAAAGTGACAATCAATTTCTATATGTTTAGTTCTCTCGTGAAATACGGGATTTGATGCAATGTGGAGTGCAGACTTGATTATCACAATACATCTTCATAGTCCGGATATCACGAAGTTAAGCTCTTGAATGAGTCTGTTTTACCCATATAAGTTCACAAGTTAGTGACGCCATTGCCCTATATTCGGCTTCACTGTCGATCGAGCCACTACATTCTGTTTCTTACTTTTCCATGAAATAATGTTTCCTTCAAGGAAGACACAATATCCAAGTGGTAGACCGTCTATCAACAGGTGAACCCGCCCAATCTGCATCACAAGCACTCAATGACTCGAATGCTTCCTTTATCTTCATATAACAATCCTTGTCCAGGAGCCTTTTAAGGTACCTTAGAATGTGAATGATAGCATTCCAATGACCAAGCACATGGAGTCTGCATGAACCGACTAACCACTCCAACAAAGAAAAGATAGATCAGGCCTTGTAATAGTGAGATAAATCAGCTTTTCCGACCAGCCTCCTATATCTCTCTCGGATCGGAGAATACTTCACCTTCTTCTGTTGTTAATTTCTTATTTGGGTCCATAGGACTCTCTACGAGTTTACAGATCAATCATACCTGTTTCTTGTAATATATCAAGAGCATATTTTCTCCGAGAGATTACAACTCCATCTTTTGATTGAGCTACTTCAATGCCCAAGAAGTATTTTAGGCTTCCCAAATCCTTGGTTTGAAAATGTCTCGCACAAGTACTCCTTCGACTTGAGATATTCCAACAAGTATCATTTCCCGTAATGACTATATCATCAACATATACTATTAAGTAAACACATTTACCCAGAGATGTATGACAATAAAAGACCGAATGATCTCGCTTCACTGCGTCTTAGCCCAAATTTTTGAACAATGGAGCTAAATTTTCCAAACCAAGCACGTGGTGATTGCTTGAGGCCATATAGAGAACGATGCAATTTGCATACTAGTTCGGACTCCCCGAGCAACAAACCCGTGAGGTTGCTCCATGTAAATTTCGTCCTCAAGATCACCATGTAGGAAGGCATTTTTGATATCTAATTGATGAAGTGGCCGATGACGAATGGCGACCATTGCGAAGAACGGACGAATAGTGGTCATCTTGGCCACGGAGAGAAAGTGTCACAATAATCAAGGCCATAAACCCGAGTGTACCCTTTTGCAACTAACCGAGCCTTGAGCCGATCAACTCGCACCATCGTGGCCGATTTTAACAAAGATATACCCAGACGGCAACCAACCGCCTTTTTGCCCGGTGGAAGGGGAACGAGCTCCCAAGTAGCATTATGGTCAAGAGCCTCGCATTTCGCAATCATGGCTTGTCGCCATCCAGTGGTGATCAAGTGCTTCTTCCACATTTCTCGAATAGTAATAGAAGATACCGAGGATAAAAGGGAACAATAGGAAGGCGACAACCTAGGTGATAGCTAAGAAAATTATAAATAGGATGTGGGTTTCGAGTGGAACGAGTACCTTTTCTCGGAGCAATGGGCCATCCCGAATCACCTCCACCAGGAGTCATGGTAGGAAGCGATGTTGGAGAAGAATCTAAAGTGGGGGATTCACCCTCGTCTTGGAGAACAGGACTAGCCATCGGGGTCCTATGATTGACAACATCAATTTGAGGGGAGGATGGTTCGAGAAGACTTGGATCACTACGGAGATCGATAGAGACATTGGAAATATTAGACTCAACTACTCGGAATGGGAAGAACCTCGTCGTATGACATGAACATCTTGAACGTAAGGAGAAAAGTAAGGAGTCTCGTTCAAAAAATGTAACATTGGCGGACATGTAGTACTTCTTGGTTTCGGGAGAGTAACACCGATACCCTTTTTGAAGGCGGAATAGCCCAAGAAGACACATTTGATAGCACGAGCGTAAAGCTTGTCTAACCCGGAGACATATCATGAACAAAACATACACAACCAAAAACTCGAGGAGATGTGTGAAAGAGAGGATTATTTGGAAATAGAATGGAGAAAGAGATCTTATTACCGAGAGAGGAAGATGGCATCCTGTTAATAAGAAAACATGCGGTTAAGATGGCATCCCCCAGTGATGGACAGGAATATGAGCACCCAAGCAAAAGAGTACGTGCAGCTTCAACCAAATGTCTATTTTTTCTTTCTGCTATACCATTTTGTTGTGGTGTATGAGGACAAGTGGACCGATGCAATATTCCATGTGAACTCAAAACAAGTAGAAAAGGTGGATGAGAAGTACTCTTTAGCATTGTCGCTTCTTAAAATTTTGATTACTTGATCGAATTGATTCTTAATTTCATTCAAAAAGGATGTAAAGATGGGTAACAATTCGGAGCGATCTTTCATAAGATAAACCCAAGTACATCGTGAATATTCATCAATGAATGTAACAAAATACCGAAAACCAAAAGATGAGATGCGACCGGGTCCCCAAATATCGAATGGATAATAGAGAAACCGGAAGTACACCGTGATTGAGACCGTTTAGGAAAGGTAGATCTAACATGTTTCCCTAGCCGACATGACTCACATTCTAAGGTCTCGGAGACCACTAAGTTCGGGACACATTCTTTTTAATTTTGACAAATGAGGATGGCCAAGCCGATCATGTAACATTTTAGGGCTCGGAGTAGCAACACAGGACACACGTGGACGAGGACCAAAAAGGTATAATCCTCCAGCCTTCATATCCTTCTCCAATCTGTCTCCCCGAACCACGCTCCCGTATAACAAAAGATTTGTTATCGAAGGTTATTGAACAATTTAAGGTTTTGGTTAACCGACTTAAGGAAATCAAATTGAAAGGACAATTAGGAATAAAAAGGACAGAGTTTAGGCTTATGGAGGGAGATAAAGAAACTTGGCCCACTCCCTTTGAGGAAGCTTTAGAGCCATCTCGCAAGGGTTATGAAATGTTGTTTTTCTTGAAAGGAAATGGTTGAGAACAAGGAGGTATTACCGGATATATGATCGAAGCACCGAAGTCAATTACCCATGAATTTTGACCCTCCATAGATTGAGAAATGCAAGCAGTTGATGTGCCTGGCAGCTTGAGAGGTATGTGCCAAGCTATTAGACTTTAACCGTAGATACTCTTGGTATTCGTCCTCGGTGAACTTGGAGTTGACGGTTTCAGCCTTGGAGACATTGGCGCTTTGGGAGGAAAACCATGCAAGGAGTAGCAGTTCTCCCGTGTATGACCCATCCTCTTACAAGTAGGTGCATTGGGGACGTCCTCGACCTCCACGTCCTCCTCCTCTCGGTGCCACGTCCTCCTCTTCCTCGTGTGGCAACCATGGCGGATGGTTCTACTAGAGCCGAGCTTCCCGAGTCTCGGACATTGGTACACGAATCAGACGTGTGATAAGGGTATCCATGGACGGGACTTCATAAGTGGTCAGAAGTTGATCTCTTATATGGTTAAAGTCAGGATGTATTGCGTGAAGGATCATCACCATGTAATACTTGTCAAGCTTCTTTTTCATTTCATCTAAGGAATCGACTTCCAAGAACATCTTGAGTTCTTCCACAGCCGACTGGGCGTCATTCATAAAGGACACCATATCATGATCTGTCATTTTTAGAGATGCCGACTTATTTGCGGAATCGTAGAGACGTTGAATATCATTGGCATAAATGGTTTGAGCTTTCTTCCAAAAGGAGTGACAAGTTTTGAAGGCTCTAAGCGACATCAAAAGTCTTGGTTCCACCGATTGCCACAATAGAGCACATAGCTGAAAATCTGCCTGTTTCCACTGTTCAGCTTTTTCTTCCGGCACATGGCTTCCGTCTTTTTCAAGGTGGTCGTGATGCCCCTGACCGAGAAACCACATTTCGACGGTAGCGGACCAAGATAGATAATTTTGTCCGTTTAGTTTTTCTGAAGTAATGGAGGGGCTTCCGGAGAATGAAATTGCAGCCATTTCGATCAAGAGGACAAAGACCAGTGAGGAGGGGGGCGAAAACAGCAAAGAAGTCCGAAAGCCCAAGAGTGATTTTCGCAAGGGTGACTACTGGACTTCACCGAAATGAAGAGGTGGCGCGTGGCGGAGAACAAGCTTCCGGGACCGACGGGGTTGGCTGTCGCACGGCGAGACGATTCAGATCCGGTGGTCGCCGGCGAAAACTGGACGATCGGAGACGGTGGCCGGAGGCGGCCGGCGGCAGACAGCGGCAAAAACAGTGCCGAATACTACAGAAACAGGCAGAGCGGGATCGACCCGCTCTGATACCAACTTGATATTCAAAAACTGAGAAAAAGTGTTTTTAGAGGGCTTGAAGAACCCCTCTCATAGTTCTGTATTTATATAGATAAAAACTGATACAATAGGGAGATTACATTAAATGCACAGTCCTAGATTACTCCTCAGAACTAGGTGCAGAGATTATCTAACACTCAACCCCTGCAGAGATTATCTAACACTCAACCTCCTACCTTAGGTATAATGATTACATATATTTTCTAATTTATTCCAACAATTTTCTAAATGAGTGTAACCTATAGGGATGAAATGATTATTTTGACAAAACAAAAGACTTTCTTGGGCAAAACATATTCTTCAGCAAAAGTATGGCCTTGGCAGTAATACCAACAAAATAGTGTTTCTTCAATATAAATGCAAAGGAATAAATTACCTACTTCGGAAAAAAAAAAAAAAAACACTTTCACTAAGAAGCACACAAAACTATAGTTAGAGAACTATAAATAATAACAATCCATCATGAACATGAAGCCCAACATTTGAAAATCATGTACCAGAATTGATGGGGATCTCATATAATGTTAAGGATATGAAACCAACATATAAGAATCAGTACCTTCCATCTTCCTCTTGCATCCATTTCTCGAGCTGTTGCTTCTCTTCTGTCAATTCCAAAGCAACCTTTGAAATGAAAACGGCAAATACGAGTTACCATCTCAAATTTCAGTACTTACAACCATTAATTAAACATCAGATAATTCGGGAAATTAAAAAAAATAATAATAAAAATAAAAACCTGTTTGGCAAGCAGCTCTCGTTCGAGGTTACCGGGAGCGAAGAAAGGAGTGTCGGGTCCGAACTTGCGACGGAGCGGTTTCCAGAAGGGAAACCCTAATTGCTGATTCTGATTGTTCTCCACTTCCATCGCCATATCCACACTTTTTAATTAAATCACACTGTTTTCTTTCAATTTTGAATTGAACAGGGACTTCAAGGGTACAGACCAATCTTTTGAGACATTCGTCTCTGTCGGACTCTTTAGTTTGGGCCTTCTCATTTCAAATTTAGCAAAGCCCATATCAATTTACTTGGTATTTGCCCCCGCTTTGCTCTTTGCATCGCCTTGGATTTTTCTTTTTAATTTGTTTTATCCAAAATTACATTCACAAAAACTAATTTCCGAGACGTAAAATTTATATAGATATTAGTTTTTGTTTTTTATTTTAATAGATATTAGCTTTCATTGTCTAGATGTTTTGTTGTGTGATTATAATTTATTTTTTACTAAATAATTTAATATTATTTAATGATTTAAATAACTAATCAAACAAAATTGGTATAAGTTTTACTCTTATTTTTATTTATTACGAATATTATAGACAAAATTTAATGTGTGATGGACATATTATGATTTCTATTTGAAAGATTGTAATAATTTTGTCTTCCGTGATACAATTGAAAATTCTTTTTATCTAAAAATATTCTTATTGTTGTTGTATTTTCTGATTGTTTTTCAAATTACTTCATACAGTTTTACACATAAGATGAAATTAAGAAATCTACGAAAACATATTAATCTTTTTTAAAGAAAAAAACTAGATTAAATATTTTAAAACTAATATTTTAAGAGTAAATTTGTAATTTGTATTCCATATAGTTTATTAACAAATCATGAGTGTTAATTAGTACACTTTCTTGGAAGTATTTGAACAAATATAAAATGATAACTTCGTAACGTATACATAATAAACTCTCTATCATATATAATGAAAATATTTACAATAATATATGAATAGTAAGATAATATTGTTTTAGATCATTTATTCATTTTAAAAGTTTAATTCATCATAATTTTATTCTTAAAAGATGTTTTGATAGATTAAGAATAAAAGATAAATATAAATTATTTTTAAACTTCACACTAAATAATAATATGTAACTCATGAGCTTCATTTTAAGTAATATGTATGTAATTCATGAATTTATTTATTAAAAAAAATTGTATTTTTATCCATCCATACCTGTTAATCCTTAGTTCATTAAGCAGTTAAACTTTACAGTTTAGTCACTTAATAATTAATTATATATTTATACATGTATGTTTGAGAAGCTATTTCATTTTTTATAAAAGAAAAAAATAGCGTTTTTTGAAAAATATTTGCTTTTATATGGTAGTTTAAGCAAAGAATTCAATGCGAATATTATTTTTCCACTATTAATATTTAATAATATACTATACACGTATATAATGATTTTGTTAAATTTTACAATAATTATCTTAAAAATTATATTTATGATTAAATTTTATGATAATTAGCTTAATTGAAATCATTTCGTGTATGACTTTGCAAAAATTAATTAATGAGAAAATTCACAGCCCTAAGAAGGAAAAGAAAAAAAAATAAAAATTGACGAGTTCAGGCATGCTGCTTGCGTTGAATCTGATAAATATTATACTTATTAACGTGGATAGAGTGATATTGAATAAATTAAGGGAAGAAAAAAAAGAGCAAAAGGAGAAAATATAACATCAATCCCGTACCTAACAGCTGAATAAAAATATAATGTTTAGTTAAATGGTGGTGGTGATAATTCATCGTGAACAAAATTTGAAGACGATAATTGATGCATAGGTCAAAACTTGCCTTGGATAATACATGTGGATTCTCAGATTGGTTAAGGTGTCAAAATCATCTAGTAACTAGTAATGAATTGCACGCATTCATTTCAATCTTCAGCTTCAAACCACAATAGCAAGAAATGTTCAAAATAAAATGAGATCATTTTTTTAATGGAAATCCATGTAAGAAAATGACCCAATCTAAGACTATAAAAGAAATTAATGAGTACCAACCAACTCCTTTTGTTCAAGTGACAAGAAACTTGACTTTCTTTAAGATCAGGTTGGATGTAAATGGAAAAGTAAGTGCATGAAAAAATATTTACCCTTTCAAACTAATGACTTTATTCAACAACCATAATGTAAAAAATTAAATAAAAAATTACGAGTTATTTACTTGTAAATGAGATCTAAGTGAGTCCATTATGTAATTTCTTTTTGTTTGTTTTTTCCTTCTTTTCATATTGATTAAGGGAGATTACGGGAAATAAGTTTTGATCATACTTTTTAATGGATACAACAATTGAAACACATGTAAGAAATTATAAGGATTGATCTCAGACAAAGCAACATTTTTAAATTAAAGGCTGAGTATCTTTTGTTAATCATTTTACTTGTCAAAATCAATATTTATTATTTTGGACGCCAAATAATTATTTTGTATAATATTTTCAATATTAATTTCCACAGTTTTTATTAAAATAACAAAGATATTTCACAAATTATACAAGGGTATTTATACGCATAGGTGAAATATAAACTAGAAATTAAAATATTTAAGTTAAGGCATTTGGGATTTGTTCGGTTTTAGATTAAAGGACAAATCATAGTCTCTAATTGTTTTGATCTTAATAAAGAAATGTCATGTTTTAAGATTAATAGTTTATAAAATTGTTGGCGAAAATTTACATCATTTAATGAGTAAATTTCATCACGAAATTAAGAATATTGTTTAAAAGTAAATGCACATAAGGTTAGATGATTAGTATTTTTCTTCCCTATCTTCATCCACAATAAAAAAGTTAAATATATATATATATATATATATATATATATATATATATATATATATATGATTTTTACTCAATTACTTATTTTAGTCGAGTTGGAAGTTCTACATAGCATGTCTCATGTCATGTGGTATGTAGTGGCGGATCTCCCAAAAAATTTTACAACTAGTGATATAGTTTAAATATATGTTATATTATTAATTGCATTAGTATAAAATTGGATTTTTACGTTTGTTATTTTGATATTTTACGTCATAAACAAGTTCGGTGTGACGTAAATTTACATCGAACCCTAGGGATAACCGACGTATCCTGGGGCAACCGACGTAAATTTAAGTCGGATCCTGGGAGTAACCAACGTAAATTTACGTTGAACCCTGGAGGTAACCGCGATGTAAATTTACGTTGGGTATGCCTCTATTCCAACGTAAATTTTTTTTTTTTTTTTGCAGCAAGTCCAGATATCATACAATACAAACACATACAAATAATACAAACATACAATACAAAATAAACAATAACATACAATACAGAAACAATACAAAACAAACCAGAAATATTGAACGAAAAATCTTATTCTTTGTTATCTAATCTGTGTAATATCGTGTTCTGATAGTGGAGATAAATTAATCTTGAAATATCTGAAACATTAATTTGACTCTAGTTAACATGCAATAGGAGCATATTTTAGGAAAACTGTTATAACAAATCCCCTTCGAGCATTTGTCTTATCTTTTTTCTCTTTGTTTTGATATGTTATGCGTTCAAATTCGACATCCGAGTCAAAAGTTATCTTGTTTTGAACATTTTTTGTTTTCTTTTCATTATAAAACCCTAATACACAAAACAACGCCAACAACCTAAACCCCCAATATACAAATTACAACAAGAACAACAACAACAAAGTAGGATTCAAATGCATAGAACACTATAACTACAACAGGTCAATATCAATAACAATCAAGCGGAAATATTCAATTTCAACATAAAAGAGGAGATGAGATATATAGAACAATAACCTCAAATATACAAAAAATGTAAAATTTGAATTCAATCGGAGATAAATGTTCACCACCATAAATGGGACACAATAAAAGTATTTTCGTCACTCACTGTGGTCGAAATGTACTTTGAGAGAAGCTGACTATCGTCGCTGTCGTTGTGGTCCTCAAAAACCTTTGTTGTGCGAAACGAAGAAATAGTGTTGGAAAGAATAAAATGTGAGTTTTGCGTCGGACCTAGAAGGGATTAACATAAAAAGCGAGTTTTACATCGAACCTAGAAGAGACCAATGTAAATTTTGCGTCCACTATTTACAAATTTGTCACCGCGTAACACGACTTTTATGTCTGACCTAAAAGGGACCAATGTAAAAGTCGAGTCCATTATTTACAAAATTGTCATTGCGTTGTTTTTAAGTCGATTATTTTTGGATCCAACGTTATTTGGGTGACGAAAAAAGCCCATTATGTATTAGTTTTGGTTTTATATTATAACTTTAGTAGGACCTCATAATCAAAATCTAATAACTTCTTTTGAATTATTGTATTGGGTCAATGATTGTCCTTTCGTTGTGAATCAAAAAGTATCTTTTATCTAGTCCGACAGGATGTTGAAAGTTTCACATTATCTATATCATATAATATAGTATATTAGGCTACTCCTAACATTATAAATTAGTTTTATATTAAAATCTTAACATAAAAAAACATCAAATCTTAAAAGATTGTGTTTAAATTACAAAGTAAAAGATGCTTAGACTAGTTCCTTTAAAGCAAGCATGTTCTTGATTGTAAACATAAAGAGTATTATTTTTGTTAGAAAATTTAAGTACTTTATCTTATGATCATATAAATTGGTGAAAGATAGTAATTATTATATGAAAATATTATCTTTATCTAAAGAAATATCAAACAAATCAAAATATAAAATTATTTCAATAAAAATTACAAAATTGTTAAATATGATAAAAATATGTTGGAATTAGATATAATCATATTATAAATTGTGAGATATTTGACTCAATCATATAAAATCGACAGTTTAACATGCTAAAAATTATACTTTTATATATATTATAATGTTATCATATTATTGGAAGGAGATTTTATACTCTTAAAGATTTTTTTCCCTGCTTAAATGGATTTTTCATGGTGTAAAACCAAGTTATAACAGGTCATGTTGGACCAATTTGAACGTGTTAGTTCATGTTTATCCAACTCAAATGATTATAAACGGAGACAACTGGGATATATATATATATATATATATATATATATATATATATATATATATATATATATATATATATATATAAATAAAATCTTAACGAAGAACTTTACTCTCTCTTAATCTCTTCAAACAATTCTTTAATAAATTGAATTAGATTGAAATAAGACTTAGATTAAAATAGATTAAATATATCCCATCAAAATCGAGTTAAAAAAAAATGACATAAACTTAAGAAGAAAAATATATAAAAATAAATAAATTTTTATTACTTTTTTATTTTTATAATTTTTTATTTTTTACTTTTATTACATTTTATAGTTGTCTCATCATAACAAATTTTACTATTATTTTCAAATACATTATAATTAGATTTTTAAATCCTAAATATGTAACTTTCCCTGATTTTAAAATTATTGATACGCTGTTAAAAAGTTAATTCTTTTTTGTAATTATTTTTATAAAAAAATATTTAAATTTATAGAAAATTTATTTTTTATAATTTTTATAAAAATATTTTGATTCTAATAATGATATTTATTATATATTTCCTAATATTTTATTTTAAATATAGATTGAATTTTCCATATTATGTTAGATTTATAATTTTTATTTTTTTTAATATAGATCGAGGATAATTAATCTTTTTATATAATTAATGCCTTGTCAGCTATTTTCTCGATTTTTACAATATTGAGTAGTTACAATTTTGTTTTCTTATTTTATTTTCTCCACAGTTTATGTTTTTCGATAAACTAATAAATAATAAAATTAAAAAAAAATATTTTAACTACATATTTCTTATTTTCTTCGACAAAACAATTTCCAGTATATTTCTATTTATTTTCTTTTCATCTTTCACTCCTCACTTAGTACAATAGAACACAATGTTGCGAATTCACCTTGCAGCTATAATTTGTCTGTGGACACGGTGATGCACTGTGACGCATAGGGTGTTAGGGTTGGGAATCGTGGAGAGAAGGTTGAGTTAGGGTTAGAGGCGTAAAGTGTTGAGATTGCCTTTTAACGACGACCAATTACTAAAACACTGTCAGTAGTAACGTAAACAAATAAACTCTAGTTTTTCATTTTAATGGAAAAGAAACTCTTGTTAAAATTGTTCTTTCTTATAGTGAAAGTGTTTTGGTCCATGAGGCCTACGAAAACAGAATCAAACAAGGCAAAGAGAGAATAAAAGAGTAAAAAGATAGAAAAATGATACTCCAATTGGTTATCTAACTTTGCATGCTCCCATGTGCATTAAGATTTATTTTCATGAAAACAAAAAACTAGTGAAATCTCGATAAAAAAATGGAAATAAATGATGTCATGCAACGTTTTCTTACGTAACAATTTTTCTTTTTAGAACAATATAATTGAACTATTCCAGTAACAGCCAACTTAGTAAGACCCAATCTGGAAAATTCGAAAGAGTAAGAGGTTTCAGTTTGGCAAGCTAAAATGACCTCCACTGGACCAAGACTGCTTCCAGCTATTATTTATCACAAGGTTGGGGTAACCGAGTAACCAAGTTTGTCTCATTCTTTTTGTTTTGACTTTCAAATTTTATACCCCAGTGGCTACTTTCTTAAGCACACGGAAAGAAAGAGATATATAAACAGAAGGGTACATAGCAGACATTTACATATAGGTGTTGCAGAAGAAGATGGAGATGATCATGAGGATAGTGCTAATGGCTTTGTTGTTGGCTTTCACGATGCTTATATCTAAGGGAGAAGGCCAATTATCAGAGAATTTCTATAGTTCATCGTGTCCAAACGTGGAATCCATCGTGTCCCAAGCAGTGACTAACAAGTTTACTCAGACCCTCACAACTGGACAAGCAACCCTGCGTCTGTTTTTCCATGATTGCTTTGTTGAGGTGCCTTTTTCAATTCGTATATATTTCCTCGGTTCCTCACTTGTGTTAATATAGAATATAGTTTTTCAGTGCCAAATTTTTTTATAAGAATTCATAAAACAGTTTTCCTTTTTCCTTATCTGGTTTGTTCGTTTTCCTCTGATGAGCATGCATTTCCTAGAAATAAGTTTGGTTTCTTTCTGTTTACTCTTTCTCTCTCTTAAATTTGATTCATTTGAACTTTCAAACTATGATGTGACCTTTATGGCTGTTGGAGGCTTAATTATTCTTCGTTTTGCAATTTCGTTTGGAAATGGTATGAATGACTTTCTATTTTGTGTGTATAATTAATAATGGTAATGTGACCTCAGAACTATACACGCCCATGGTACCTAGATTATTATAACTACTTCATTGACTACGGGTATATACAAGAACCCTAATAGTTGATGTGTGGTTAACTTTTGACCAACTACAAGAGATGAAAATGCTTGAATCCATCAAGAAGCTCATTATATTCTAGTTCATTCAAGACAAAAGCGAACTCACAGTAAAGTTTAGATATATGTATAGGGATGTGATAATTTTGATGTATATAGTAATGAAAAGTGAATTTTGATGGTGTAGGGATGTGATGCCTCTGTGATAATTTCGTCGCCAAATGGGGACGCAGAGAAGGATAACGCGGAAAATCTTTCCCTTCCAGGAGATGGGTTTGACACTGTGGTCAAGGCAAAGCAAGCAGTGGAAGCTTCATGCCCTGGTGTGGTTTCATGTGCAGACATTTTGGCACTAGCCACCAGAGACGTCATAAGCTTGGTAACATCAACCCTACATTTCTTAATTTCATAAAGATCTGATTTAATCTCCTACTTTTTATCCTTATATGTTTATTAGTTATTTCGTATGAAGATTAGGATATGATTATTGTAGTTTATTATAAAAAGCTTTTTTTCATCAAGATAATCTATCTCAATTATTTTTTATTTAGTATTTTTGAGAGTTAGCATGAAAGTATTAAAAAACATTTCTCCATAAATTTAAGACATTAAATTATATATTTTTTATTTGTAAGTTAATGAAGCTGATTTTTCACACTTTTAACATATAAAAAGACTCATTTTAAATTAATATATAAATATAAATATAAATAGTTCTATTTTTCAAGACTTATTATTAAATAGGATTTTATTTTATCCTTACGTAGTTTTACCCAAAAGTGGAAGAAATGTTTTAGAAAGAAAAAACAAAATTATTTTGAGTGTCATTGATTTCGGCCTGTACACGTCTAACTCAATCAGGAAATTAATAGTAATAAAGTCATTGTCACGCGGGTTAAACCACGTCATATATTTAATATTTAAGTCTCTCTCTCTCTCTCTCTCTCTCTATATATATATATATATATATTAATCAAATTACATCTTTATTTTTTGTTATTAAATTAATCCTACAGTTGAATTTAGTACACGATCAATAATTTTATATATAAAAGTTATAAAATTAACTATTAAAAAATAATTTGACGTATTCATCATAATTAAATAATAAGAATCAAATTATTCATATTTTAGTATAATTTTAAAAATATATATTGATTTTAATTATATAAATAAATAAATAATTTCAAATATATATGATTTCTTTTTTATGTGTAATGTATAGAAAAAAAAGGTAAGTTTTGAAAAATTATGATCTAATAAAAAAAAAAACTAAACTGTATAGTATCTGGTAAAAATAACATCATAATACTGATTGATATAGGTTTCAAATACTAATCTAATTATAATTATAGTGAATATAACGATGGTAGCTATCTATCTATCTCTATGTATAATTTTTTTTTCTTTTGGTGTTGAATGGCTGATAAATATTAAACTATTATTTCTGAAATTTATTAACCATAAACTATGGATAAAGATTTTATATCATCAATATAAAATAAAAATCAGAAAATATACAATTTTCAAAATAACTATTACAAAAACCAATAACTGATAAAAATAAAATATAATTTAGTTGGTTAAAAAATTTTAAAACTTAAAATATTTTAGTCATTATATTTTTCAATAGGGATTAATCCTTTAGAACATGTTTTTTTTTTTTCGTAAATCTAGGAACTAAAAATGTTTTTATAAAGACAAAATTTTGGTAACGTTCAAGAAGCTCCGCCGCCACTGAGTACAATCTATAACTGAATAACTTTATGAGAAATTGTTGTGAAAAATCTAATGAAAAATTTGCAAACTGTTCTGAACAAGTTAATGTTCTGCTTCTATTAACGATGTCAGCTTGGAGGTCCTTCATTCAATGTAGAGCTTGGACGCAGAGACGGGCTTATTTCCAAGGCATCTCTCGTAGATGGAAAGCTCCCCAAAGCGAGCTTCAACTTGGACCAACTGAACGCGCTTTTCCAGAAGCACAACCTGACCCAAACGGACATGATAGCCCTCTCCGGGGCCCACACCGTAGGGTTCTCGCACTGCGATCAGTTCACCAACCGTTTATACTCCTTCTCATCCTCCAATCCGGTGGACCCCACTCTGGACTCCACCTTCGCCCAGAATCTCATGGGGGACTGCCCCAGAAACGTCGACCCCAGCGTCGTGATCCCGCTGGACCTGCAATCCCCTGCGGCGTTCGACAACCTCTATTACAAAAACCTCGTATCCGGAAAAGGACTGCTAACCTCCGACCAGGTGCTGTTCACGGACGCCGCCTCGCAGCCCACGGTGGTTGGGTTCGCGAACAACCCTGGGGACTTCAACGAAGCGTTTGTGACGGCCATGAGGAAGCTGGGAAGGGTCGGGGTCAAGACTGGGAACGAGGGGGAGATAAGGAGAGATTGCACGTCCTTCAATTCATGAATCGTTGAAAATAACGTTTTTGTATGGAAATTCAGGGATTGATTCTTCAATTGTGCAGTGGGGATGTATTCCAAATGTCTTGTTTGTTTGCGTGTAATAATGCGTGTACGTATATATGTGTATATATATGCACTTGATATTCTGCATGAGTGCTTTCACTTTAACACGTTTTTGCTCTCATAAAAACTTATTCTAAAATTAACTTTAAGAAGTCATTTTAAATTATTTATTTATCGTATACTTTCTAAACTAATGGTCTTAGATAAGTTATTTTTTAAAACCATCACATTGAAACTGTAAAAAAAATAAAAATAAAGAATTAAGAGAAAAAAAATTCTTTTGAAGTATATGTATAATTAAAAATCTTACTCATGTGTATTACATAATTCAAAATTTTGAATGATGATTGTTTAGTTATGTTTTATTTTTGAATTACTCAATATATTTGATTGTTTTTAATATAGTCACTGCAAATAAAATATTAACTCGTATAGGTCTATTTTTAATAATTTTAATAAACTGTTACAATTTATATAATTGTGAAAACAAAATTTAACTCCTATAATTATTCATTTTCCAATTTAAAAATTAGTATAATATAAATGAACCTACTTAATAGAGTTTACATAATTTAATATTTATACACTTTATTTTACAAACCTATTTATTCATATTAGAAAAAATATTCTATTAAATATATTTGAAAAAAGTTATGAATAATTTCACTACTCTCCTCCCCTCTTTTAGTTTGAAAATAGTTCTTCAACTCTCAATTCTTCTATCTGAGCTCCTACAACAAATTTTCTCTCTTGAAGCTTCTTGTTTGAAGCTTCTTGTGTGAAACTTGTTATTATAAGTTGTTAATCAATCTAATTCTTTTGCTTATAGAGCTTCTCCATTTTGGAATTGCCTTTTTGAAGGAGTTTCTCATTTGAAACTTCTTATTTGTAGCTTCTCGTTTAAAATTGTTGCTCACCTATAAAATTAATCCATTATGCACTGAGCATATTTTCTAGGACAAAACTTCATATTTTTTTTAGTTTATCATTCTTGTTAAAAATAAATAAATAATTTAAACAATAAATTAGATACACAGATATTTATTATCTTTTTATAAAAATTATGTTAAAAAGTAATAATTAATTAAAAATATATATTAAATATAAATAAAATATATTAATAAAATTATTGATAAAAATGTATTCATTCGTCACCCTCAAGAATATATGTAAAATGTGTATACGAATATATTACTATCCAATTGTGCAAGAAAGTCGTAAATATTACTATTACCTATAATTAATATATATATATATATATATATAATTAAATATGAATAGAAAGATATTTATTATAACATGGATATTATGTCATCCAAGCAATAATTAATTTGATTAATTATATTTAACATTAATAAATATTTATTTTTCACTTAAATGTTATTTACTATACATAAATTTAAAATATGTTTAAGTTAAGAATAATTGGTTGATAAAAAAATTAAAAACATTTCTAACATAATTCATTTATTCATTTTAATTTAGAAGTACAAGTATAAATGTATCCCATCCTCACATTTATTTCCAACTACTGTCTTGATTCATAAATTTCTTCACCCATCTCATTAATTGTTTGGTCCATTTATAAAACACATCCCTTGGCCCATCAAATCTCATCAAACATTTTTTTTTTTTTAAGTATATTGTTACAAATTTTATATCAATTAATTGGATTAGAAAATGTGTAATTTTATTTTTAAAAAGATTTGAAAATGTATCACTTTATTGTTTATCACAAAATAAGGTCCACAATTTCAGTTTTATCACAAACATAAAATTTGAGAATTTTTGTCAAGGAGTTGTAAAGATGAATAGGACGGGACGTAAATATTGTTTTTTAATGACGTGTACTACATTTAATGTTAGTACTTGGTCTCACAATAATTTTATCAACAAGTGCCAGTGAATGATAGTGATTCGATATAAAAATATGGGTTAATGATAATAGGTTACTCATAAATTGATATGTTAAATACTTTTAAAATTTTATCTTTCAATATAAAAATAATTAATAAATTTATGATTATATATATGCATATATCATATTTATATAATATGTATTTGTAAAGTAAGAAAACCAGGTTGAATTATGTTTTAATGTTAATTTTAAAATAATTTTCTAAAAGTACAAGTCAGTCTTTGAGCCTTAAAAAACTAATCAGACTTAGAATCTAATTTGGTGAATAAATGATGAAGATCTGCTTATAATAGTATTCATAAAATATAATTTCACAAACACACAATGCCCAAAATCTATTGGTTTGTTTCTGAGATTTAAATTTTTTTTTAACTTAATTTCAATAATTGATTCAAGTGGATAAATTTTAAATATAAATTAATAAGCAAAATGTTATGTGCCATAGATATAAATCTTAGAATGATAAGAATGTACCGTGGATATGTCACAATTTTTTTTTCTTTTAATTTTCAAAAAGACACTTCAATGGTAGGTTTAGATAACATAATTATACTTGTTTTCATCTTTTAAGACGAACCTTTTTTTTTCATGTGAAAAAAAAACACACATTCAAAATTAGATTAAGAAGGATCTAAAATCTTTTTCTAACATTAATATATTAATATTATTAATCAAAAGTTTTGATCTAATGTTAAAACTTAACTAGGGTAAAAATAAGAAATTTAAGTAATATATACATAAAAATTTTGATAATTAGAAATTATTTAATATCATTTAGTTTATTTATGAAGACTCAGCCAAAGTTAAATTTCTTACATAGATTTTGGGTGGAAGAGGAGTAAAGAAGAATAACAAAATGTAGAATAGCATGAAAATTTTGAAGGAAACATGTTACACATCTCCTACAATTTATTAGAATTGTAAAATTGCTGGTTTGACCCTGTCTTATCCTAACCCACAGGATATTTCAAAATATTATCCTAATAATACTTAATCTATATTTCTAAACAATTCATATTTTAAAGTTTGGTCGGTCAATGTATGGATCGAAGTCTATCAGAAATCCTTCAAATTGTTTTCATTAGGTACTTGTCTCCTATCATAATCTTTGCAGTTAGCACTAGACAAATCAGAACAATTATTTTGTTTCCTTAGTAACAAGATGAGTGGAATAAGAGTAGAAACTGATAAGTGTCAATCAAACTTTTACTTGCAAAAGGAAAGAATATAACAACAAAAATGGAACAGAATACACAAAGCCATGTGGTAGCAGCTATTGGACAAAACACACTTTGTTTTTTCTCCTTTTGTTTTCAACAGAATTATCCCTTCTTTGGCTTTCCACACCAGAGACAGTTTCAGCTTCTTCAATCTTTAACTAAAATTGGCAACAGTAATTTCAAAAGTATAGGACACCAAAATACATAGTCCAAACTCTCTCACAATCGAAGCCTACTAGAAGAAGTTTTTCCATATAGGTTGGCATAAACAATCCTTGTTCTTAACACTAGAACCATGCATAGGGCTGCTCCAAGAACACATAATCCTGCCATGATCATGGAAGTTAGGAAGAAGCATATGCTACCTTCACACTTCAGAGACTCAGTAGCAACCTGCAATCCCAGAAAAGATCCCATACTTTGGGGATGTTGTTTCTCTGCTTCAGAATCATATATGGTGCTGGCAATAAGACTAGAGAAAACCAGTGTTCCTGCTGGGTTTGCCAAAGTAATGAAATTGTACAATGCACCAAAGTTTCTCAGACCAAACAACTCAGAGGCAGTGGCTGGAACAATTGCCCAATGAGCCCCATAACCAAGTCCAACTAGTAAAGTGCCAACATACATTGCCCCTGGCCATCCCATACCAATGAAAAGATGCCCAAGAGTCATAATAAGTTGAAACACAGCCAATGCACTTGGTCTTGGATACGCATGATCCCTGCTCAAGAAAAAAAAAAATTATGTAGCTTGAAATTAAATATGATGTTAAGGAGCCATCTAAGACCTAAATATGTATTGCATGTTTATCATGTATAGAAAAATTATTGACTTTTACATTAACTGCTTCATAAGTTATCTTTAAAGTGATTTCTAATTGATTGACAGTGTAAAATTCTTTACACTGACTGTGCATAGTAAGCTGAATTAAAGATGCAGGGATATCAAACACCTAATACCATGTTGTTATGTATGATAAGATTGTTAACATTTGTAATACGTGTTTTAAAAGTCATATGATCTGTTTCCACAAGTTTCTTAAAAAAAATAGAATTAAACTTCTCCATAAATTAAAATTAACTAATGTACATGGTAAATTTTTTTTTTGGAAAAACTATGAGAGAATGTCTGCGAGTTAGCTTATGCATAAGTTAATTTTAACTTAGAGAGAAGATAATTTTGTTATTTTTTATTTTATTTTTTTTCTCTAGGAAGTCCTAGTGGAGAAGCTTGTCCAAAAAGGTCCATATTTAAATTTAGTTCTAATTGATTGATTGTGTACAAATCTTTCATAGCTGAATAAACATGCAATGAGTGTATAAACTGGTTTTTTTACCTCACAACAAGCTCAGATATGTAACCTCCTCCAACACGGCCAAGGAAGTTCCAAATACTGACCATGGAGACAAATATATGTGCATTGTCATATCCTAGAGATTGGCTCATTTGACCCAGATTGTCAATTACAGTCAACCCGGATCCAGAACCCATGATCATGGAAATGAAAAGAAGCCAAAAGTCTGCTTTGATCAGTGCTTGTGTCAAGGTGAAATCTTCTCCTCTGTGCGGTCCCCTCCTCCTCTTAACCCTCACTGCTCCTTCTGCAGCTGCTTGGAGCAGTCTTTGCTGTAAATGCGCTATACGTTTCTGCCTCTCTGATGCAGGGAGCATGTCCACTTCCTTAGGCTTCTCATCTTCCAACTCACTCAATATTACTTCATCAGAATCCAACTGAGATTTCCCTGGATCTTTATTCCTTGGTTCTGGAAGAAGGGCCTCTTCTTCTGGATTCCTTTGCTCAGGGCCAAAACTCAATGTAATGGGAATAACAATTGGGATAGCAAGGATCAGCAAGAGAATAACAGTGAATATTGTTACTACAGTTTCACTCACTTTAAATAGATCTTGGACAATCATGACTCCCATCAAATAAGCAGCCAATAGGAGGCACACACCATACACAAATGTGAAGCATTTTCCATCTGAGGGCCGGACTTGTTTGTGACCACCAACAGGCCTAACAAGGAACATAAGACCTACTCCTACCAATGCTGGACCAACGGCAACCATAAATATTAATGATGCTCGATCAGGAGCATTGAACAATGCATATATCTGTGTCAAGATCGCACCACTCAACCCAGCAAAGCCCTTTAGAATTCCCACCACAGGACCACGGCTTTTGGGGAAATTTTGTACACAAGACACCAGAGAAACCGTGTTAAAGTAGGTTTCACCATTTGTTCCCACAAAAATAAGAACACACATCTGCATGGCAATAACCATTCATCACTTAGCTTGCAATTATGATCAATAATATCATTAAAAGGCATCTCTTGATGAAATAAAGGTGCTATGCTGATTTCTTATGATTATATTGTCATGAAATTTACATATTCATAATAAAACATTAACTTGGACATTTATTAAATTAAGCTCCTGAGACATCAAACTATTACATATCAATGGTAAGGAAAATATCATAGAACAACTATGTCAGGCGTTCCAAAGATTAATGCATATACATTTTCCCAAGAGCAGTATACCAAAGAACACAACAAAAGAAAAGGCTGAATAGAATAAGTAACCAAAAGGGATATCAATTTTGTAAGTTGTCTCCTTTTACTCATTGTTAGAAAAATTTGGCCAAGATTTGGCATCACGTCACATGTTCGTTCACATGGGAGACAGCTGACGGTCAAATCGAGTAGAGTGAAGTTTGATTAATTAAGTGTTTAGTGTCGTGCAAAACATTTCCACAATGCTCTGGTGCCCAGTGGCAACGTGCCACATATTTCACACTTCCCGTTTCATAATTTAAAAGCAGACGGTGACTCATCACGCTGGTATAGTTATGTTCATGGGAAATAAAAACAAAAAAGGATGAGAAAGTGAAAATCCCCCCAACAAATATTGAGCATTGACAAGGCATAAATAGAATATCCATTCATAAAAGGATGATTCTTTAAAGTACATAGCTATTCGATTCTGCCAACAACCCCGTCTTCTCACTTTTCAAGTTCAACAATACCAGAAAGGTCGAATTTTAACATATACTTACCAAAATCAACCACATGTTAAAATTCAACCTTTTCATATCAGAATGCCACGAATAAGAGGAATCAAGCCAAATTGCGTCCAATGATCCAAGTCCACTTAGGAAGATAAAGAGACTGTTATTTTGGTTGATTCTTATTAACACGAAACCCGGGATCAATGAACCAAAGAAAAGAATGGGTAGAAGAAACATGAACAGAAACAAACATTAAAGTCAGAAAAAAATAAAACTTTTCATGTTCATGCCTCATGGGAAATTTGAACTTGCAGAAGACATCAATGATCCGATTCAGGAAAATCGAAAACAGTATGTATAAGTGGGGCAATCCACTTATATACAACTGAGCTACTTCAATCCAAATTAAAAGAACAAAATCAAGATTGAAAGAACAATACAACAGCCACCAAATAAAAAAACATGAGGACCATCACATCCCACAATGATAAACAAGTAAAAATTCAAAGCAGAGAGAAACTCACAGCCCACAAAGGCAAAACTGGAACTTGAGCTGTTACAACCAACCAGACCCAGCCATAGCCGATGAGATTCAAAGCAGCACCAACAAGGAGAGCACCCCAGATGGGTAACAACTCACAGAGTAACCCCGTCACGAAGCCAACGGCGTCGCCGAGGTCCTTGGCCACACCTAACATGGCGAGCTGCTTCTGGTTGTAGCCGAGGGAGCTCTTGATCACCGGCGATATGCTCCCGAAAAGGTAGCCGATACCCGCCCATGATTGCAACCACATTGCGGCCACGAACACCAGCCATCGGCTCTTGTAGAAGGAGGACAGCTTCTCCTCTAAGACCCCCATCGCTGATCATTCACCAAGCAAATATCCTTTTTCTTCTTATTCTTCTTCTTCTTTTCGTTCCAGTTGCTCTTGTTGTGGGTTTGTGATCGGTGGAAGAGAAGGATCCTGATATGGTGGAAGAGAAATAGATAAAGCAGAGGCAGAGGAGAGAGAAAGAGCGACAGACAAGAGCGATCATATTGGAAAGTGGGCCAATAGGATGAGCTGGCACGCGAGTTATATTTTTCCATTTGTCTATTCTCTCTCTACCTTCGTTTTAGCATGCTTGGTTCAAGTTTTACAAAACAGTAACGATACGTACAAATCTAAACTATACATATCAATTATATAATGATGAGAACAAAAATAATGATAAATGTTAATAAGCTTTTTAATTATAAAGAATTTTAAACTATAAAAAAATTTGTTAAGAGTTGTTTAATCACATATGATTTTATAATAAATTACTACATGACAAATGTCAGTATATATTATTTTTCCTAAAATATTTTTCCATATTGTTTAAGTATAAATTAAATATACGATGAATTTATTCATTTTAGAATAAATTTCTATATGAAGACAAATATATATATATATATATATATATATAAATATATATAACATTTTCACATTTTCATAAAGTTGTTTGATCATAAAATATAATAGAGAATGAATTTATTGATTTTATAATAAATTACTATATATACGTAAATGATTAAAAATAGTGTAACGCTAACCATTACATTCAATTGTTTTACTAGAACTGATCTTCATTTCAACCATTTAATTTCAATATTCTCAAAATTTAAATATGAATATAAGTAAAATTTTATTTATAGTAGTTTTATCTTTATACTTAAATATACTTTTCAATAAATATATTTGAGTATATATATATATATATATATATATATATATATATATATATATATATATATATTATGATATTAGAATACTAAACTATTATTTTTAAATAGTTAATTTTTCTTCTTTGAAAAGATACATATAATAGAGTTAATTTTGTTTTTCATAAAGTCGAGTTAACACTGAGGATTCTATCGAGGTTTATAGAAACAAAAAAAATAGTATAGAAAATAAAAAAATAAAACATAATGGAATATTTAATTAATTTAATCAAAACACATGAAAAAAAATCTGACGTTAGAAAAGTTATATTTTAGTATTTATTTTTCTTATTATTAAACAATTACAATATTTTTTTATAAAACACATTAACATTATTATTATTATTATTATTATTATTATTATTATTATTATTATTATTATTATATATATATATATATATATATATATATATATAAATTTAGTACATAAAGAAAAGATTAAAAGAGGAAAAATAGTTTATTCTTTTAAATATTTTTCATAGTTGTATTTTTTTTTTACTTTCATCTTTGAAATTGGAGAGAAGTATTATAATATTCATTTCTTTAGTTAATTATATTATTAATATTATTTTATTTTCGTTTTTTATTTTAATTAGGAATTCATATTATTATGATATTTAATATATCATAATTAAAAAAATATATATATTGGTATTTAATTATAAATCATATTTAGTAAAATTATTATTATACAACGACATTAGTATGGATTTATAATTAGATAATCATAACTATTTTATAATATAAATGTATGACTTGTTTCTCTGAAAATAATACTATATTCGAGATCGATAAGTATTTATTTTGGATATTCGATAAACATTTGAATATTATTAGATATAGCTAACGAAAAAGAATTAAGTTACTTTCAAATTAACTAATTAACTCTCATGAATAAAATATTCTCTGATCATTGATAAATCATATTTGGAATATTAAAATGAGAAAGATAATGACGATCTGATTACATGGCAATTAAAAATATGAAATGTTTAAATACAAAGTAGAAGCATTAGTGTTTGAGGCTTATGTTTTAGGCTTTCTAAAACATAAATTTTATTGTAAATTATACTTTAAACTTATGTATTCATAATATATATACACATATAATAACATTACAAACATTCAGGGGTCATTATCAACGTATCTGTACGAAGGAGTAGAATTTAGGGGACCAGCAGAACATGCTCCACCAAAAATTTATTTATTCTTTTATATATAATAAATTTTTTTTTCAAATTAAATAAATATTATTTTATAAATATAAATATAATTTTAATTTTTTATTTATAATAAATATAATGTTTCTCTTACACAGTTTTTTAATTATACATTTTTATCTTTTATCTTCTTCTTTTTATTTTTTTATTATTTTCTTACTTTTACTTTTTTCTATATGAGATACTTATTTTATCTTTTCAAATTTATATATTTTTCTTTACTTATAACAAAAATTAATATTATTTTCGGTCTAAATCAGTAGATATTACGAAAAATCTATAGGTATTGTACGGTTTTTTTGGGACAAAAATTCATAGGTTAAATCATTGTAGATAATAATTACCTATGATTTTTTAAATTTGTTGTTAATTTTATATGACATTATTTATGAAAAATGTCTATATGAAAAGTTATATACGAATATATCACTAGATAATTATGTATAGATATATTGGTAACTTAATTACTTATATATGCTTTTAGTATTATCAATGATATATCATATATAACATCAAATTTAATGTTAAACACAAATTATAAACACATTATATTAAATACCAAATTTAATGTTAAACACAAGTTATAAACACATTATATTAAATACAAGTTTTCAAGATAAGCTTAGAACATAATTTTAAAAAACTAATTAATAAATTAAAATCATAATAAAAATCATTTATGTAAACAATAGAATTAAATCTTAAATAAAGTGTATAATAAAAGTTATTTAATATATTTAATAATTCATATATTATTCTTCTTTATGTAACAGCTGCTGGCAGTACTGTAGGACTACACCAAGAAATAAGAAATATCTGTATTGATTGAAATTGGGAACTCATTTGATGAATATGTTTTTTACTACTTTATCTTTATACAATCATTAAAAAATAATTATTTATTATTTTAGTTTTTTTAAACTATTATTTTAATATATTGTTAAAATTTGCAATATTTTATTTTGAATATGTTATTTATTTATTTATGAGTTTTATTTTAAAAATAATATATTTAAATCCCTTTATATTTTATAATTTAGAGATAAAACACAAATTACTATACATAACTTAATGAAATAAAATAGTAAAAACGAAGAAGTTAATGAAGGTTAATAATATATATTTTTTGGATAAGTTAAATAAAATAATAATTAATTTATTATTGACGTATTACCTAAACAGTTAAGTTAGATTCAAATTTACTAAGCGTGTCTCTTTCGTATCCACGTTCAACATGCATTTTCTTTACTCCATAACCATAACGAAAGGTCCAGCATTTCTCATGAATCAAATACTTAATACAATAATTCTATTAATAAATCATATACAAAATTATGATTGTTTAACATTATTGCTTAAATAAAGACTTTCATGGTGTACCAATTATTATAATAAAATACAAAGAAAAGGACATGGCTAGTGACAAATAAAATAATAAAAAGTTTAAATATCATGCGGAGATGAATTAATTAAGAAAGAAATGGTGTGACCAATTTGGGAAGAAAGCAAGTTTAGAAAGAGAGTAAAATATTAAAAAACAAATTCTTATATTTTTTACTACTATATAATATATACAAACAAAAATTAATATTTCTCATTCTATTCAAATTTATTTATAAAGTTATATCCTTTTCTGTACTTTTTTTTATTATGAACTATTAAATAGTTATTTTATTTTTCAATTATGTTTCCTTTTTTTCATAAATTAAAATGAAGACGTGATAGTTTTAAAGTTCAAAAGAAAAAAAAACAATAATGGAAAATCAACAGTAGGATATCAAAATAACTTATAACTTTTCTATTTTTATTTTAAGAATTAAAAGAAAAATGATTATGATAATAACACTTGAAAAGCACGTTTTTTATTTTTTTTCTCTTTTTTAAATTTGTATTGTTTTTTTAATATATAAATTATAATATTTTTTTAAACTATAATACTTTTATTTTTCTCTTTTTTCGATAATATAAAAAAAACGTTAAAAAAAATTCCCATATATAACTGTAGATGTTAAGTACATTTTCTTTCTTCTTTCATTTTTATTTTCTCTTTTATAATAAATAGTCAAAATATGTAATGGAAAGAGGATTAATAGTTTATTAACAAAATATTACACCAAAAAAAAATTATTTTCCTTGAAAATAAATTTCCACACATACATCTCAAAATTGTATTACATGAATTTCATGATAAATTTAGAAAGCATTAAACGTTAACATATTTCATATTATGTTTATTTGTTGTAGACAGATCAAAGGATCAAGTGCTCTAAGATTTAAAAAAAAAAAACAAAAACAAAGATATTAGGCAAAAAAGTAATAGTTAAGTCACCAAAGAAAAAAAAATGATCATAGAGATACAAACTTTGTAGAGAAAGTAATCTAATGCTACTCGTAGATAATTTACGTCCATATAAATTTCCAGTACCTACCAACACATGGACAAACAAATCGACACATCAAATGATATTTAAGAAACCACAACACAAGCAACCAAGTTTTGTCTTATTTGATGAAAGAACATAATATGTCTACTTATAACATCAAATTGATCTAATAATTTTTTATTCTTACTCTACACAACGTAAATTATGAATTCTTTATTCTATAATAAGTTAAATTTATTTTTCATTAAAAAATAAACTTGGCTGACTAATAATATTTATTTCAAAGAAATGACTATATATATATATATATATATATATATATATATATATATATATATATATATATATATATATATATATTATAAACCATTATTATTTACCTATCTTACCTAGTTTATCATAAGTGGTTGACGCATATTCAGGTAGCAAATGCATCAAAATACCTTCTTCTAACAAAAGGAAACGTCCTTGCAATAATCTTCTCTCATATAGTTTCCAATCAATTTTTT